TAGCACATAGTGGGGCTCAATAAATGGCTGTGGAATGAAAATGAATGAATGAATGTGTGCACAAGGGCATAGAGTTGAGAAAGTTCCAGGATTTAGGGCTGGACTGAGTGAGAATAGGTGGGTCTAGGTGGTAAGAAAGGCATCAGGTTTCTGGCTTGTGTACCAGTTTTTTTGTTTTTTTTTTAAATTTTAATATTATTTTAATTTATTTTTTTTCGGGCTTTTAAGAAAAACTTGCTCGAGTTTGTTTGTTTTCTTTCTTTCTTTATATTTTGGGCTGCTTTGGGTCTTCGTTGCTGCATGCAGGCTTCTCATTGCAGTGGCTTCTCTTTGTTTTGGAGCATGGGCACTAGGCACGCGGGCTTCAGTAGTTGTGGCGCACGGGCTTAGCTGCTCCGCGGCATGTGGGATCTTCCCGGACCAGGGATCGAACCTGTGTGCCCTGCATCGGCAGGCGGATTCTTAACCACTTTGACGATAGTGGTGTCATTAATTGAAGTTGGGAACACTGCAGGAGTATAAGGTTTGCAGGGAAATCTCACAATTTCAGTTTAGGACAAGCTGAGTTTGAGATACTTTTCAGATATCTAAGAGAACATGTCCCACTGGGCAGTTGTATATACGAGCTTGGAGCTCAGAGAATTCTTGGTAGAGATAGAAATCAAAATGGTGTTATCTAATTTACTATTCATATACGAATACCTCTAGGAAATGACTCCGTTTGGCTTTGTGGTAGAAGTATAGTAAAGGTATATGATTATTGGAATAAAGAAGTTCAAGAACACAGGGGTGTTGGTTGCTGGATGGGACACCCACGTGGATGTTAATTATTTCCCAGGGAGATGATGGGAGGTGTGAGAAACAGCATCGGCCCTGTGCCAACGTCCTCAGGGACCTGATGAGTGATGGAGAAAATGAAGGAAACAGGCGGAGAAATGGTCCCTAGGGCCACAAAGACCCATGGGTAAAGAGCAGGGCGTTAGGTTGGGTTCTGGAAGACTTGGGCTCCATCTCCTACTAGCTATGCAGCTTGAGCAAGTCGCTTAATGTCCTGAAGCCTCTTTTTCTTTGTGTGCTTAACAAAAAAAAGAACAAAGAGGAATGTTATTAACCCATCACCTGTCTCTATATAATAGTGAGAATCGAGGAAAATCATTTTTACATACATATAAAATTGAGCACTATTGAATAGTAAAGCAGGGGTGCAATTAGTTTTCACAGAGGGGCTCTAATAAAAGCCCCAAGTATTTGGAAGATAAAAGACACGCTGTGAACTTGGTCGGGTTATCCACACCGTCTTCCTGAGGGAAGTCATCCTTGAACTAGGACTTGAAATAGCAGGTGGTGGATAGGGACCGGTATTAAAAAAAAAAAAAAAAAGGAAAATATTTGAGACAAGAATTAGCAAGTCACAGATTGACCCTAAAGTAAAAATTTAATTGAAGGCAGAGTGTAAATAAATAAAGTCTAAATAAAAGCTATAGATGGGCTACTGCTTTTTTTTTTTAATAAATGATCCAACATGGTTATATTCTCCAAAGTACAGAAAACGTTTAGCTATTCCTTTCAGTATAAAGCAGATGGTAAATCTATGTTATTCAGGAAAGGAGGATATAAGTGTAATTATCAATGTGTCAAAGTAATAGGAAGGGAGTTTGTAGCACATGTGTGTACAGCACAGACTAAGAAGACAGTATGAGGAGCTAAAACACTGTGCAGCACCCTGCCCAGACCTTCTCCCGAAACTCTGCCCCGCATCAGACACTTTGGATTTTGGTGAAAACATATTCCATAACTAGCTATCTTTGGAGGCCCTAATTCACTAAGGCACCCCAAATTAAAAGGCTTTTTGGGGACTTCCCTGGCAGTCCAGTGGTTAGGACTCCGAGCTTCCACTGCAGGGGGCATGGGTTCAATCCCTGGTTGTGGAACTAAGATCCCACAAGCCATGCAGGATGGCCAAAACAACAACAACAAAACAAACAAAAAAGGGCTTTTCATTTCTTCCTTGTGGTATCTGAGTTGTTCCCACAAGATGCAAAATTAGTAGGATGGACATGGTACATTTTAGTCCCCAAAAGAATTCAGAGTTTTGCTCTAGTATTTTCTATGCTTGTCTTGTACTTGCTTTTAAAGCAAACCTATTGCAGTAGTGGTCCCTCCCCACTGACCTGTGGCCACTTGCAGTGTTGCGTCAGCACGATAGAGCTGAGTGGTAGGTGGGGTTCTAAAGAAGATCCCCAGAAAGTTCTGTTCTCTGGCTATTCAATTAAATGCTAATCTAGGCGCTGCAGTAAAGGGACTTTGCAGATGGAATTCGGGTTACTAATCAGCTGACCTGGAAATAGAGAGATTAACCTGGAAGTCACTGCCTTTTCAGTTTTCTTTCAGTCTTTCAAATTATGTCATTTATTGGCTGTGTGACCTTCAACAAGTTACTTTACTTCTCTGTGGCTCAGTTTTCTCAACTGTAAAATGGGAATGATAAGAAATAGTACCTACCTCATAGGATGGTTGCGAAGACTAAATGCATTAATAGATGTAAAGGTTTGGGAAGGTGCTTAGCACATAGTAAGTTCTCAATAAATATTAGCTCTTATTGTGGTACATATATACAATGGAGTATTACTCAGCCATAAAAGAGAATGAAATATTGCCATTTGAAGCAACATGGATAGACACAGAGATCATCATACTAAGTAAGTCAGACAGAGAAAGACAAATATCATATGATATTGCTTATATGCAGAATCTAAAAAATGAGATGCAAATGAACTTATTTACAAAACAGAAACAGACACACAGACATAGAAAACAACTTATGGTTCCCAAAGGGGAACGGGGGGCAGAGGGATAAATTAGGAACATGGGATTAACAGATACATACTACTATATATAAAATAGATAAACAGCAAGAACCTACTGAATAACACAGGGAACTATATTCAATATCTTATAATAACTTATAATGGAAAAGAATGCGAAAAAGAATATATATAAAAACATATAACTGAATCACTTTGCTGTACACCTAAAATTAGCACCATATTGTAAGTCAACTATACTTCAATAAATAAAGAAATAACAATTCTATAAAGATGTTAGTTATCACTAAGGAAAAATTTGTTACTCTGTCCCCCTATAATTACCTAAAAATGATCAAGGAGGTGAGAAGTCCCTTTGTTTCTCAACCTTTCTGCCTCTGCAAATTTTTTTTTTTTTTTTTTTTTTTTTGCGGTACTCGGGCCTCTCACTGTCGTGGCCTCTCCCGTTGCGGAGCACAGGCTCCGGACGCGCAGGCTCAGAGGCCATGGCTCACGGGCCTAGCCGCTCCGCGGCATGTGGAATCTTCCCGAACTGGGGCACGCACCCACGTCCCTTGCATCGGCAGGCGGACTCTCAACCACTGTGCCACCAGGGAAGCCCTGCAAATTTTTTTTAATGCAGAGACTTCTCAGGTAATATGTATCTGGACTGTAACCAGCTGTACTCAATTCACCACAGACATGAAAGCAAAGTATAATTTGTTTTATTTTTTTAACTTTAAAAAAAATATTTTATTTATTTATTTAAGCTGTGCCGAGTCTTAGTTGCAGCACATGGAATCTTTTAGTTGCAGCATGCATGTGAGATCTAGCTCCTCAACAAGGGATCAAACCCAGGTCCCCTGCATTGGGAGCATGGGGTCTTACCCACCGGACCACCAGGGAAGTCCCTAATTTGTTTTAGATTTACTGTAAGCTTTGAGAATGTGGTACATTCTATGAAATCAAGAGGAGACCTAGGCCTCTTGGCTGAAATCTAAACCTTAATTTAATTGTCCAGCAAGACAACTAGCAGGATTAAAATAAACTAAGAATAATAATAATAAACCCTATTACTTATATAGAGATAAACGCTGGGCTAAGTGATTTATATTTTATTTCATTTAAAGCTCCAACAAGTCCATCAAGCAGGAGCAGTTGTCCCTGTGATAAGCATGAGGAAACAGAGACTTAGGGAAATTAAGTAACTTGCCTGAGGTTAAACAGCTCCCAGTGGCAGAATTGGGATTAAGACAAGTTATTGGGGACTTCCCTGGTGGCGCAGTGGTTAAGAATCCGCCTGCCAATGCAGGGACACGGGTTCAACCCCTGGTCCAGGAAGATCCCACATGCCGCGGTGAAACTACGCCCGGGCTTTATAGCTACTGAGCCCGTGTGCCAAAACTACTGAGGCCCACGAGCCACAACTACTGAAGCCCATGTGCCTAGAGCCTGTGCTCCGCAACAAGAGAAGCCACTGCAATGAGAAGCCCGCACACCGCAATGAAGAGTAGCCCCCGCTCACCGCAACTAGAGAAAGCCCACGTGCAGCAACGAAGACCCAACGCAGCCAAAAATAAATTTATTTTTAAAAAGTCCTCATACTGCTTAATAAATAAATAAATTTATTAAAAAAAGACAAGTTATTGAACACAATGCCTTCTATTTATCTATAATTTCATCCCATTCTCTATATCTATAATTGTAGAAATTTTTAAATATGCTTATTCTTTCAAAATGTAACAGATTTAAGTCTTTAGCAGAAATTTTATAAAATAAAATATTTCTCTTTCTATGAACTGGTGACTTTATATGTTTCTATTTCCTGCTACTTCTAATTCACATATATATATATATATGAGCTCATTTAAGAACTATTTGTAGCCACACACATATTTTTCCCTTAGTGTCTTTTTCATTAACATTTCCAACTTAATTCTTCTCCAACATATTTTTTCCTTTCCTCTTTCTTTCCTATCTGATCTTTCTCTTTTACAGGCTATAGTATGAAGCTACGGTATATTCTTATTGATCGTGTTCATCTAAAGGACTTTTTACTTTCTGTTCTTAGCTTGTTTTTTTTGCGGTACGCGGGCCTCTCACTGTTGTGGCCTCTCCCGTTGCGGAGCACAGGCTTCGGACGCGCAGGCTCAGCGGCCATGGCTCACGGGCCCAGCCGCTCCGCGGCATGTGGGATCCTCCCGGACCGGGGCACGAACCGGTGTCCTCTAGCATTGGCAGACGGATTCCCAACCACTGCGCCACCAGGGAAGCCCAAGCCTTCTTGAGAGACAGTATTGTGTAATGGTTCTGAGCCAGAATATTGGAGCAAGACCCCAGTTCTGCTCCTTACGAACTTCTTGACCTTCATTTCTCTGTGCCTTTTTTGCTTTATCTGTAAAATGGGAACAAAAATGGCACAACCATTAGGGTTGTTTTGAAGATTCTTTTGAGGATTAACTGACACAGTATATGTAAAGTACTTATGGAGGACTGACACTTATATAAATATTAGCTATTATTATTACTATTTCTGGAAACTGTAATATCTAATGGAACAATTTGAAAATCTCTACTCCAATGAACTGAAATATTTATCACGTCGCTCTCTGTTCCTAGGCTAAGCAAGAGGGCTTGCAGGGAGTTTCAGCAGTGTATTTATATCAAATACTTTTTTGATTTCTGGTTGTGTTGAAGCCACAGAACAACAAATATCAATCAAAGTTCACTATTCATGGAAGTCATTAAGCTGAGTGATTTGACCTATAAATTGCTTCATTCCTCATTCTTTTATTTCTTCTCCTCCATCTCTGTGCCCCATTTTCCCTCTTTCCTCCCCTGTCTCATCTCCCCTTTTGCATTTCTTTGATTATAATCTCTTAAATCTGTGCTAAATTGTTCCCTATATTGAAGCTGGGAAATTAGGGACCTCTACAAAGGTAATATTGAAAGCACATTTAGTGAGTCTGATGTTATAACCAGGAAATTAAACTTTGAAGTTGTTAAGAATAACAACTTGAAGAATAATGCTTGACATTATTTTCCTTATTCGTAACTGTGGAAAAATGAGTAGTCTACTTCAAACATGGCCACATTTGACTACAGAGGAAGTTGCTTTTCTTTCCAAGGTTTGCAAATCTGGATGTATTTATATTAAGGCGTTTCATTTCATCTTAGTTTCCTACCGGCTACAATTCAAACAGAACACATAATGTATTTGCTCTCCTTTATAAGAAAACCCTCCTCCTCACATACTATGATCCCAACGTGCTTTTATTTTAGGGCTTTAAAATCAACCTAATGGGGACTTCCCTGGTGGTGCAGTGGTTAAGAATCGGCCTGCCAATGCAGGGGACTTAGGTTCGAGCCCTGGTCCGGGAAGATCCCACGTGACTTCGAGCCCTGGTCCGGGAAGATCCCACGTGCCACAGAGCAACTAAGCCTGTGCGCCACAACTACTGAGCCTGCGTGCTGCACCTACTGAAGCCCTCGCGCCTAGAGCCGGTGCTCTGCAACAAGAGAAGCCACTGCAACGAGAAGCCCGCACACCGCAGTGAAGATCCAACACAGCCAAAAGAAAAAAATTAAAATTAAATAATAAAAAAAAAGAATTATGTGAATCACTAAATAAATAAGTAAATAAATAAAATCAACCTAATGATTGGAGGTGCAATAGAAGAGTTTTTCTTCTTCTGCCAATGGTATAATTTGTATTATTTTCTAGATTTTAAATATATTTCTAGGTACTTGAAACTATAGTTGGAAACTAGCATTGGGGATGAAAAGGACAGTTTAAGGTTCCATTATAAGGACCTGATGCCACAATTTAAAATGTTATTTCTTGGTTTTTAAATGGCTCTCAAATTTGAATGTTATTTTTGTATTCCCAGTTCTTTTTGCACATATGGAACACAGCAGTAGTTATGTTGCAACTAGAAAAAAAAAAACTGGAAGGCAGTGATATGTTATAATCACCAGAAGAAGAGTAGCCCAGAAGAGTGCATATGGGGAAAACATAGTATGTAGCACCACCACAGCATCCTTTATACATTAAGATAGGTTTTAGCTATCTAGCTCTAGGAAGTATACCAGAAAAACTCGGGCTTATTCACTCACTCAGTACTTTTTTTGAGAGCTCTTTGTGGTAAGGGCAAGCTTGCAGTGAGACGATGCATTAGAAAAAATAGAATAAAAAGAGAAAACCTCCATGTCTTCAGGGACTTGCCCTGTAGTTCACTTAATGATGAATTTATTAATTTCTTTGCAGTTTTCCATTTCAATTAATTAGCCCAACTATATTCTGTAAGCCCACAGCTGTGCTGGGAATTCAAAGAACAGAAGTAGGACCCAGTCTCTACCTGTGAGAGAAAATGAGAATATAGTCTGGGATATTATATCATTAAGTCCTAGAGGTTTTTTGCTCTTTCCATTCAAGGTTCCCAAATCCATCTCACCTCAAGGGAAGAGATGGTATCTCATTCACTTTATTTTTTCGATACCTAACGCTGTGTCTGACACATGGTAGAGATTCAGTAAAGGTATGTTGAAAGAAGAAACACATTTTTTCAAAAATCCAAGGCTACGTCTGGCGAACATCTCATTTCCCAGGCACTCTTCCAGTATTATGCAGAGTTGAAAGTCTTCTCTGGCTTTTGACATAACTACTCTTGATAAAAAATTAGAATACCTATTACCAAATGTTAGGAAATATCTGACTGTGGTCACCATTATTTATTACCTAAAATGCCTCGTTTTCTTAGAAACCGTTTTTAAGTCTGGAAATTATAGAAACCAGAAGAAATATGATTCCAATTCTAATTTAATCTCCTGTCTGTCCTCTGATCGCTTAATAGTATGAAAATCTGGTTTGCTTTGGTCATATACTGCCAGGTTCAGGAAAATATACACCAAGTTTCTGAACATGGGTAAATCTATAAAAAGATTTTCTGCTTCCATGGCCTGTACAGAACTGATATTGATTGTTTAAAGGTAGAATTGTTACCTTTAACACGGTTACCACTTTTTTCCATGAATTTAATGGAGCCTGCAAGAGGAACCAAATGACTACGTAGAAAGACGTGTATCCTCTTTACGGGTGTGGGTGATGTCTCAGAAGGTAAGCAAAGCTTTATGTGAGTTGCCTGCTGATGCCTGAGCATCTTTCACCAGAAGCAGGCAGGGGGTGGGGACTTAGGAAAGATGGAATGAGTTGGAGCTGACAGTTGGCCCCCAGGGACTGAGACACCCAGGATCTCAGGGAATGAGGTTCACCTCTCAACATGTTCGCATTGCTCTGTTTGGCAAACCCAGTCTGGGGGGAGAAAGACAAAGGTATCCCGGGGGATACTGACTGCAGATCACACAGTCAAGGGTGGCTACCGAATCCTCCTGTTCATTTCTGATTTCGTACTCCCACTGGGCTCTTTTGAAAGGGGTCCATATACTTCTCTCAAGGACAGACATGAAATTTTGTTTTAACTTAATTAATTGTTGAGGAATGAAACAGTTCCACAATCCCTTAGCTAATGCCCTTGGGACTACAATTCAGTCTGTCCTTTTTTGGATTTTATGTTATATAACATCCCCGACAGGACCTGAGGCAGAACCCAGCAATCAGACACATGAATACTTCTTCTTCACTGAAATGCACGAGCATTTGCACTAAGTGGAATAAAGATTACAAGTAATAAAGATATTATTAAAAAAAAAAAAAGATTACAAGTAGCCTCATGCTATTTCGGGCCAGATTTTGTCGCCAGATGAATTGTGAAAAACTTTGAGATTTCATATAATTTGGGGCTTTGGAATTGCAAGTAAGGGATGGGAGAGCACTCAGCCCCTCCACACCTCTCACATTACCCCAGCCCTCTGCTCCACCCACCTCACCCCACCCCACTGCTGCTGTGGTCCATGGTTCAGAATATTCTAAAGCATAGTCGTTGGTCTTATGCCTGCTTTGCAGGGAATTTACCGGAATGATGAAGGGGCCTCATCATTTTGCTGTATCCAGGAAGTCCTCATGCGGGATTCAGTTCTTATGGGTCAGGAATGTGGGGGACGGTCCCTTTCTCTTCCGTACAAATCTGTTGTGTGGTTTTCTCGAGCATTCGAGTGTATTGAAAAACCAAAGGTCTGCAGTGAGGTGGTGGTTCTCCATCCAAAGGACAGGAAAGGCACCGAGCAGAGGTACCAGCATATGCCAAGGCCCAGGGGTACAAACACAGAGTGATTTTGAGGGATTGCAAGTAGTTCCATGGGGCTGGAGCTAAGGATGGACATAGGGACAGGGCATGACTAAGGATGGATGTAAGGTCAGGGCAGAAGAAGAGAAAGGCAATGTAGAGAAGGTGGCCTTGGACATCGTATAAAATGAGCCTTTACTGGGAAGAGTGCGAGTGCTCTTGAGAGGTTTTAAGAAGGTGAAGGACATGATGAGATGTGTGTTATTTTGGAAATCCTCTGTTGTATCGTTGAGGATGTGCCATGAGATGCATCACAAGAAAGGGCTTCTGGTTCTGCCACTCACAAACCAGGGGACTTTGGGAAAATTTTTTTTTTTTTTTTTTTTTTGCGGTACGCGGGGCTCTCACTGTTGCGGCCTCTTCCGTTGCGGAGCACAGGCTGTGGAGCACAGGCTCTGGACGCGCAGGCTCAGCGGCCATGGCTCACGGGTGCAGCCGCTCCGCAGCATGTGGGATCTTCCCGGACCGGGGCACGAACCCGCGTCCCCTGCATCGGCAGGTGGACTCTCAACCACTGCGCCACCAGGGAAGCCCGGGAAAAATTATTAATTTACTGATTTATAATCATGGACAAAAAATTATTTTTAATAGGGTTCCAAATAATTTGTTACTGATTATATTAGTCAGGGGTTCTCCAGAGAAATACATAATACATAATATTATATAAAATAGAGTATATCTAGTATGTAATAAGAGTATATATAATATGTTATATGTAACAATATAATATATAATAATGAGTATATATAATTATATATAATGAGAGAGAGAGAGACTTATTTTAGGGAATTTGCTCACGTGATTGCACCAGTGGGCAAGTCCAAAATCTGCAGGGTAGGCTGGCAGGCTGGAGACCCGGAGAACAGTTGCTGTTGTGACTTGAGTGCAGAGGGAGTCTTCTGGTAGCATTTCCTCTTCTTTGGGAGACCTCGGTCTGTTTTCTTTTAAGTCCTTCAGCTGATTGAATGTGGCCCATACACATTACAGAGGGAAATCTGCTTTAGCAAAAGTCTACTGATTTAAATGTTAATGTGGTATGTATACAATGGAATATTACTCAGCCATAAAAAAAGAATGAAATGATGCCATTTGCAGCAACATGGATGGACCTAGAGATTATCATACTAAGTGAAGTAAGTCAGATGGAGAAAGACAAATACCATATGATATTGATTATATGTGGAATCTAAAAAAAAAAAAAGATACACATGAACTTATTTACAAAACAGAAATAGACTCACAGACATAGAAAACAAACATGGTTACTAAAAGGGAAAAGGGGGGGATAAATTAGGAGTTTGGGATTAACATACACACACCACAGTATATAAAATAGATAACCAACAAGGACCTACTGTAGAGCACAGGGAACTATACTCAATATTTTGTAATAACCTATAAGGGAAAAGAATCTGAAAAAGAATATGTGTATATATATATATATATATATGTATATGTATACATTATGTGTGTGTGTGTGTGTGTATGTATATATATATATATATATATATATAAAACGGAATCACTTTTCTGTACACCTGAAACTAACACAACATTGTAAATCTATTATACTTCAATTAAAAAAAAGAATCAGAAAAAAATGTTAATCTCTTATAAAAGAATGCCTACACAGACATGTAATCCAAAATATTTGGGTACCTTGGTCTAGCCAAGCTGACACAAAAAATTTCACCACCACACCAGTAATAGTTGAACTGTCAGAGTTTGCATGCATATTGCTTTTATCAGTAAAAGAGAGGAGCTGTCCATCCGCCTCGCCTTTGCATTTCCAATACAATTGAATGGGACCACAGCTTGTCTGGAATACCCTTGAGCGTATGCTGGAAAAAGTTGGCTCTAGTATTGGAAAGGTCAAACAAGGAATCTGCACCTTGTATTGCCTTCTGTGGAGATCCCTGTGGGCCTCAGCCCCTTTCTGAGGAATTTCTTACACTTTGGTCAAGATTCTGTATACCAAATGCCCTACTACCCTGGAAAAGTGGATTTACCTGTGCTGGCATCCTTGGATAGGAAGAGAAGGGGCATCCACACGTTGCGTTAACTTTCTGAATCAATCAGATCTTTGTTGGGTGGGTGAAGAGGAGGTGATGTAGAGAAAGAACATAACCATAGTGCGGACAGATGCTGAGGGATACCTGGAAAGACGGTGGAAGGCAAAGAGCATCAGAAACTAGGAGAAGTAGAAATCAGCAGAGGGAAGGACAAGGACGGAGGGGAGTATGATTACACGCGGTAGCGTGCTTGAGTCACCGTAATGATAAAGCATTAAGTTGTGAGTAGAGACTGTCTGTGGTTGGAAAGATAACCTTCTCACCAGCTTGCCTCCTAAATGACCTAACGACCCACTGCCCGCTATATTCTCACTCCCCAAGTGTCCTTACCCTGAGGTGACCCACGGACTCCCACCGTGAAGTAACCTAAGTACCTCACCACCCCCTTGCCTCCTAATAAAAGGCAAATTCAGAAATAAATGCTGACTTAGTCTCTCTGGCTCACTTATCTCAGCTGCAACATTTGGGATTGTGCCGGGTCATCGACAAAGGTCTCTTCTGCTGCAACTTTTATTTTGACACGAGATAGCACTGGGACCAAATGGATGGTTGACACAGCAATGCTCTAAGAATATGAAAGAAAGACAGGTCAACCGTCTGGAGTTTTTATTCCTGGCTGCCCAGACCTCCACCTGATCCTACATTTGACAGAAGGTCAGCTGGAGTGTACTGTGGGTGTCAGCTAGTTCAGTCCTTTTGTGTTGCTGTCTCTGCATAAAGAGTTTTTTCTAAAAACGTGGGTGTTTTTCAACGATAAATACATATTTATTGCAAGGAGATGTAAGATGAGAAAAATAACATCGTAATCACTCCTACTATCTAGAGACAGCAATCGTTAATAAATTCAAGTATCTCTCTCCTCTTCGTGCTCTTTTCATCATGAACATTTTTGCCGTGAAATGTTTTATGGAAATTAGATGTTCATAGCTACACAGCATTATGTCATGTGGATATACCAAAATGGAATTAATTCTCTTATTGAAGTTGCCTCATTTCTCAATGATTTAAATAATGCCCCAAAGAATATACTTATATGTAAATCTTTTTTGTAAAGAAAAATATCTATTTCAGAGAGTTATAATTCTTTAGTATGCTAAATATTACACAATAAAGTGTAATAAAATGGAAAGAAAATATAAGCAATAGTGAGCCTCTTCGAAAATTTTTCTATAGTAGATTCTCTTTTATGTGTGTGCATGGTTTTACAATTTTATTTCTAAAGGTCATTTTCAGAAGACAGAATTTTGCGAGTTTTCATACTAAGTGTAGGGACTTCCCTGGTAGCACAGTGGATAAGACTCCGAGCTCCCAATGCAGGGGGCCGGGGTTCAATCCATAGTAGGGGAGCTAAGGTCCCACGTGCCACAACTAAGGAGCCCGCCTGCCGCAATTAAGACCTGGTGCGACCAAGATAAATAAATAAAAGATGAGTGGTAATTATTTTAAAAAATATACTAAGTGTACAGGATGGGTTAGTTTACCATATCTTTATGTACATCTCTGATACTTCTTTCGTATGAGCCACTGAAAGCTGAAGTTTGAACATTCATGGGTTTGACACCCACTGCTAAACTGCCACTCCCCAAAAAAGTTGTGTCTATTTACGGTCTCACCAGAAGAGACTATAAAGGCACCCCGTTTCCTTACACCCAAGTCAACATTGAGTATTACCTTTTTTTAAAATTAATTAATTAATTTATTTTGGCTGCACTGTGTCTTTGTTGCGGCATAGTTGCGGCATGTGGGATCTTAGTTCCCCAACCAGGGATCGAACCTGAACCCCCTGCACTGGGAGTGCAGAGTCTTACGCACTGGACGACCAGCGAAGTCCCGAGTATTATCTTTTTTTCTCTGTGCTTTTGTCAAATTGACATGTGAATGTGACATCTCACCTGAATTTGCATTTCTTCGATAATTCGTGAAATACCCCTCTCTTCATATATTTAATGACCATTTACATTTCTCCTTTCATGAATCATGTCTTGAAATCATTTGCCTATTTTTTTCTATTGGTGTGCTTATCTTTTTTCTGATTGATTTTAAGAGTTCTTTATATATGAAGGAAGTTATTTGCCTGTATAAGGTAAAAACAAACAAACAAACAAAACCCCTGAATTTTCTCTGTTGCTAACAGGGAAAAAGATTTCCCCCACCTCTTTTCAAGGAACATTTCCTTGGAAATAACTACTATTTTTAAAACCTTCCTCTATGAATTTGACATGTATGTAAATCTTTTCAGAGGCTAAACAAGCCTCTTGCCAGCCTTACAACTCTGCAGTTTCTCTTTAGAGCCTGGGGTTCTCTTTTTGAAGTGCAAACGTTAATGAAGACTCTCTAACTCCGAGTCACTGTGGGAGGTTGACCTGGACTCCTTGCTCTAAATCTCCTGATTGTCATGGAGATACAAGGAGATGTTTTATTTTTCCTTCAAATAAGGGCAATTAACTATCAGAGATGGCTACCTCAGTTACCGTGGGTATACTTAACAAATGGTGGGGTCAAGTCCTCTTACAAGAGGGAAAATTACTGTGAATCCTGAAAACCCATGTATGATGGGTTGCATCTTCTAGGTTATACACAAAGGTGGGGTTTCTTTCTGTCTTTTTAATCTCATTAGCATATTACCTGTGATGTGCCTGGCAGTCAGTCTGTTTTAATGTGAATTCAGTAATAAAACTGGTTTCTTTATTTTGTACATCTGTGCAGATTTCCAGAATAGACTGGAGATTTTACTCTTAATTTTTTTCCCAACAATTATATGTTCCAAGCTGGTTTTGCATTTTGTTTATTTCTGTGTTTCTGATGTGTTAATTGATGGGCCGATGTTCTGTACTTGCTCCTCCATCACCATGTGAATTGCCTTCCTCCCCTTTGAAGTCCCAAACCTCTTTTGCGTTGAGCTGAAGATGGTTTTTTTTGTTGTTGTTTTTTTTGTGGTACGCGGGCCTCTCACTGCTGTGGCCTCTCCTGTTGCGGAGCACAGGCTCTGGACGCGCAGGCTCAGTGGCCATGGCCCACGGGCCCAGCCGCTCCGCGACATGTGGGATCCTCCCGGACCGGGGCACGAACCCGTGTCCCCTGCATCGGCAGGCGGACTCTCAACCACTGCGCCACCAGGGAAGCCCCCTGAAGATGGTATTTAAGGGGAGGGCTTGGGCCATTTCGGCAAGTTACTCAGTCTTCCTGGGTCTCTCCCATCTATACATGGTATTAAGCTTTGTTTCATTTCCTTCTGTTAACCTGCCTCATGTCAAATTAATTCTTAGACCAGCTTGAAGAGCTTGGAAAGGTAGAGGAACGTTTATTCCTTCCTGACAACAGTAAAGCACGTGGTGGATTAGTTTGCTAAGGCTGCCACAGCAAAGTACCACAAACTGGGGGGCTTAAACCACAGATATTTGTTGTTTCACAGTTCTGGAGGTCAGAAGTCTGAAACCAAGGTGTTGGCAGGGCTAATTCCCTTTGAGAACTGTGAAGGAAGGGTGTGTTCCAGAAGGATCTCTCTCCTTGGCATGTAGATCCTGATGTCCACAATGCATCCCAGTCCTGTAAGACTGCCTGTGTCCAAATTTCCCTCAGTAGTGTTGGATTAGGGTCCACCCTAATGACCTCACTTTAACTTGATTATCTCTGTAAAGACCCTATCTCCAAATAAGATCGTATTCTGAGGTCCTGGCAGTTAGGATTCAACATATGGATTTGGGGGGAACACAGTTCAACCTATAACACACGGTGAAGTCCTCTATTTGTTATGTCAACAACTGGAGGTGACCATTGCCAGCAGCACCGAGGTGGAACCTCTCCACAAGCCATTTCCCCAGCAGGCAGTCCTGATGACCAAAGGAAAAATGTATTTGCAAGCAGAAGACTCAGTGCCGTCCTATCTCTCTTTTTTTTGTTTGTTTTTTTTTTTTTGCGGGACGTGGGCCCCTCACTGCTGTGGCCTCTCCCGTTGTGGAGCACAGGCTCCGGACGCGCAGGCTCAGCGGCCATGGCTCACGGGCCCAACCGCTCCGCAGCATGTGGGATCTTCCCG